GATGAAGTAACAGAATCATCTCCTAAATTCAATGAGAAGGGAGTTAATTTGAAGACTGTTAGCTGTTACAGTCTCCCAATGATGAGAGCATTGGTTCTGCATCTAAACATTCAGAAGAAAAGCACCACACAAGGAAAGTGTCGAAGTTTTGGTTTCACCACTCTCATGGAATATAGAAACACAAAAATACTTTCTGAGTAATTCTTTTGCTGGTGCTGGTGAACCCAGGGCTTTGGTAGAAACAATTTTGATAAGACATTAACTTATAGAATAATGGCAGTGGTATAGTGTTTCCTCAACATACTTTTGAGTGCACACTGCTATCATGTGGGCTTGTGGAAATGGATCAACACTTGTAGCTGGAAAATTAAGAATCGGGCCCATTGTTTGATTTGTGTTAGGTCAGATGGGAGGTTTTAAGTGCTAGTCAGTGAGGAGATCAGCACGAGGGTTAATTAGATGTCTCCCAAACTTCAAACCATTTCAGATGCTGTTTATAGCTCCAGTGAGGCTTGTCAGTGCCATGGCCATTCCCAGACTGTGGACACAGTCCAGAGGGTCACAGACATCTCAGAGGTTTAGAGCTGGCAGGGGCTTGCCCAGGCCTCTGAGACGTTGTTTACACTCAGGGTTTAGAAAAGGACTCTGACTCACTTGTCTCTAAGGAAACATGCTCCAAAGAAGACTGAAAACCCACCCCAGAGCTTAGGAACACACATGCTGTATAGACACTGGAAACCACTAAGCTTAGAAACAAGCACAAAACTTTGTGTTTACCCTTAAGTGCGACATGGTTGGCAAATATTCAAGTGTTGCTAAATTGTTTGGGGCTTGTATAATGTTAACAGATTTCACTGGTCCAAAAGGAAAACAAACCAGCTGATTTCCCAGCATTTGAAATGTTTAAAGGAACTTAGACTCACTTTCACATTCAGTAATATTTTCTCTCTGTTCCTCCTTCCCTCCCTCCATCTCTCTCTCCTTCCCCCTCCTCCCTCACTGTTCCTTCTCACTCTACCTTTTTATTTCTTTCCATCTTTATGCTTTCACAGTATAGAGAAATGGTTTTTAAACAAATTCCTGTTCTACTCTGAACTTCACAATCTCTTGCTACCTTTGTGCAGCTCAGTGGGACAGGCAACTCTCAAAACAAACACTAACAGACCAAAACAGGACAGAAAGGTGACAGGAAGTGACCTCAGAACATGCCCTCTTCAGTAATAAACATCCACAAAGACTCTGGAGTTAAACTGCACAGATTGATCTCTAGTTGAGAAATCTCCTGAGGTCTTCCCTTTAGCACACCCCTTATACCTGTCAATTGGTTGAGTCGTTTCTTCCTGTTCAGTGTTTTTACTTTCTTTCTATAAAGTTTTTTTTTTTAATTATTAAGAGATTTTCCATTCATTTTACATACCAAACACAGATTCCCCTCTTCTGCCTCCCAACCCACCCTGCCTTCCCACCTCTTCCAAGTCAAGGTCTCCCCTGGGGAGTCAGCAGAACCTTGTACATTCATATGAGGCAGGTCCAAGTCCCTCCTCCCCGCACCAAGGCTGGGCAAAGTGTCCCATCATAGGCACTAGGCTCCAAAAGCCGGCTCATGCACCAAGGATGGGCCCCAATCCCACTGCCTGTCCCCCAAAAAACAGTTCAAGCTAAAAAAACTGTCTCACCTATCCAGAGGGCATAGTCCAGTTCCATGGGGGCTCCTCAGAGATTGGTATGATCGTGATTCTCTCCCACAGCTTTATTCTCTTTCCTGCCCCCACTATCTACTTCCTTTCCCCATCCCACTTCTATGACATGTGTATCATATACATGTATATAATATTAAATATGTGAGAGGAAACAGGAGATATGTCTTATTTCATTTAACACAATGAGCTACAGTCCATCCATTTTCCTATAACCCTGCTCTGTGTATGTCCCATCTCCTTTACCATTCACCTGTTGGAGAACATCTTGGCTACTTTGAAAACTTGACTGTTGTGAGTAGTACATCAATAAACATGGATATGCAAAAGTGCTTTCATGGTATGCTGTTTAGAATTTTCAGGTTTATAATTATTTACATAGCAGAAAAAGAGAAAAAAATTTAGATGGAAATTAATTTTTTTAAAAAAGAAAAGAAGACAAATGTTCTGTAGGGGAAAAGAGCAAGAGATGAAAGGTATGATGACTCAGTAATGAAAATATTAGTGTTGCTGGAGAGCTTCTCTCCAGGTTCCCCAAGCCCCTCAGTCCCACAATCCACTTATAAAATAATCACTCAGACGCTTATATCACTTATAAACTGTATGGCCGTGGCAGGCTTCTTGTTAACTGTTCTTTTATCTTAAATTAACCCATTTC